CCACTTGGGTTACAGGCTCGCGCTACCAAGCCTAGGGATGGATCAAGAAGACCCCGTTTGATCCCCTTGCGTCATTTGACCCCACTGACCCATCCGGTCAACGTAATTGTAGACCAATCCAAGGGGATGGGGATGGTGCAGTTTCCAGATGAGTGCATGAAAATTTCCCCTAAGGTGGACCAAACCAAATATTGCCGGTTCAACCGGCAAGTTGGCCACAACACTGACGAGTTTCACGTTCTAAAGAGACAAATATAGGAGCTCATTCAGAGGGGATACTTTACTCAGTTTGTGAAGCATCCAGGCAATAACAACATCAGCAACAAGGCCAACCCAAAAATGTGTAGCGAAAGAGAGAGGGCCCTGATCCATCATCCTCAGACACAGAAAAGAGAGTATACGATCAGATCATGGAAGAAGGAGACAAGGAGTTAGAGGAGGAACCCGCGCAGCGCAAAAAAACTTATTATTCGCTAAAACACATAAGATCAACAATAAGATTTTTGTGTAACTATTGTTCTACTCACTTCTCTACACTCGTAGTTTGCGGACAAGAGGCTGATTACGAGATATTATGAACATTCGCTATTATTACTCCCTACCTGACTCCACTACACTCCGAGCTCGGGAGTAGGGGGACTGGTGACAGGATAATTGGACAAGGTACTGGATCTGACCCGATGAACTTGGTCTAACCCATCAGAGCAATGATGACAGTCAAAGCAATCAATATGGACAGTGGGTAGCAGTAAAGAGTTGGAACGATTCTTAGAGCCCAATGCATTACCGCCTCATCAAAGTTAAGAAAGAGCGCACACAACAATTACTGAGGAGTCGAACACTTATGATGAGGAGCCGTTGTACTTATTAGGATGTCGTTAATGCCTTTATTATAGCCGTTACAATTGTACAGTATAAAAGCTGAGCCCATGTATCATGTGGGGGTACACATTCTGATTCTTGTACTAAAACACTTAACAATACAATTTGTTACATATCAATTATATTCTCCGGTAACATATTTACCGTCAGACATAATAATAACAACAACGACAACAACAAGACGAAAAAAAAGTGTAAAACAATTCTACTAAACTTAAAACATGTATAATTGAATCATTAAACATCAAAATATGTACAAATGAGAGACCTTTTTAATTTCTTCCAATGCAATTTAGTTTGAAAACATTTAAATATATATTTCATTCCAACTAGCATGGTAGAAGTCTAGAAGAAAGGGAAATTCTTAGTATAAACCATGTAAGCAATGTGATTGTATTCTACCCCTGGAGAACTAAGAAAAATATCTCAATTACACGTATATTGGTTGTTGAATATAATTTGATGGCATAATTGCACATGTTTTAAGTTTAATTGTTAAATTGTACAAAAGTGATAAATTCAGTTACTTATTTGACATTTTTTTTTAATGTTAATAATAATTAACATTACACTAAGGAATCAAAATATGAATTGAAGTCAAATACCTAGTAATTCTAATAATCCGTTCATCCCATTTTGTATGTACGAGGTTTGACTGAAGTTATTTTTAGTTTAATTTTTTATATTATTAAGTTTAGTATGAGTATATAAAATTTATATATATTTAGAAACTACATTAAAATTACTATTAAACACGAAAATTAAATTTAAAAATAATTAAAAATTATAAAGAAAATAAGTAATGAAGAAATAGTTGATTAATTTAACCAATGAATAGTAAACATGACAGACAAAATAGGATAGAGGGAGTATATTTTAGTAGAAATAGTTTCGTTGTTTGGTCAAAAAATCATAATCAAAATCAAAATAAAAAATTAATGTATTTTTTTTTAAAACATAGATTAAAATTTTGCATTATGGACTTTAAATCTTTAATGAACAATAATGCCGATGGAATTTTGTTTTTTTTTTTTCTTTTTCCTCATTTTTTTATTCCAGAATGCAAAAAGTAGATGGTTACCTCCAGATTTTTGAGTGTCATTCACTCATTCTAGTCCTTAAAATTAGGCAAACATGGAATCAGGTTCATATTTAACAGGTGTAAGCGGTACAATATTATAAAATTTTCTTAAATTATAGTCATTAGATCAATCATGAAATATGCATTATGCAATAATTAGATCAATATTATATAGTCATTAGATCAATCATGATCGCAACGTAAAATCATTTGTTTTATTGATTATTTTCTAACAAAATTTTAGTGTTCGTTGGTGTGTCAATGTTTAAACAAGGACAGACAGACACGATTTGTCAAAAATGACAAACCAATAAAAGAATCAATTTTCAATGTTGTAATGAACAACATACTATCCAGCACAGATTATTCAACCATTCAAGCCAGCTATTCATTGCTAAACACCACCCACAACATATCTTCATAAACAAACTGAAAACAATCAGAAAGGGATAACGAAGTAAGTGAAAAATGATTTTTATATCTAAGTTCGATTGTTGTTAACACTCTGTTGCATAAAATCTTTATAATATGATTTATCTTTCCTATGTACAGGGTTTTTGGTAAATAGTTGTTAGCTGATAGCGGTTATTGAGTTTGACTAGTTGATAGCATTAGTTGATGGTAGAAAAGTGTTTGGTAAATTAGTTTTTAGCTGATAGCTAATTACTTGCAAAATGACTTTATCAAATTAAAAAAACTAATTGAAAAAGTTGTTTTGAGTAACTTTTTGAATTTTATCATTTTGCAACAATAAATTGTTAAAAAAGATAATTAATTAAATATTCATATATTGATTGTTTAACCAATTAAGTGAAACAGCTAATAGTGGTCAAATAAATTAAAATTAACTGATATACTAACTATTTTACCAAATAGAGCCGAAGTTTGCTGGCTATTTACGCAACGAATTTCCCCTGAACCACTGGGTTAACAACAAATTAGGTGTCTCAGAAGATTACAACGTTTGTAATCACAAAACATATTTAGTCATGTGAGGGTTGTCATGATTTGCCTTCCTATATATAGTGCGTGATTTGCACATGCATGTGCCAGCTCAACATGCTCATCATATGGGGAATCCAAGCTGGAACTAGCAGAATATATGAACATTTTCTGATCATTAATTAATAATATTTTTTTTTTTTAAAGAACATTAATTTTGGCAGGCTGAATTTATCCCAATGCATGTATCAATAGATTCTCAAAAAATAATTAAAAAAAAAAAAAAAAAAAAAAAAAAAAAAAACCTTAAACGTGATATATGTTAAACGAGTCAATCTGAAAATCCTTTACCTTTGATATAAAAAATTTATTATTATTGGACCCTCAACCTAGATTGTTAGTATTACTTCATAATCTAACATTGTCGAATGAACTCTCTTGCTTGATTTTATCTACGCGGGCACACAAAAATCCTGTGTTTTATGTTGTATTCATATGAGGCCAAGCAACACTGGGCAAGTTGTGTTGCGTGCATATACGTTAAGAATCAATTTTACTTGTAATTTTTAAATATATATATATATATATATATATATATATATATATATATATATATGTACTTCATACGATTCAGAGTTAGAACACTTGTTTAGGTGAGAACATGCAAATATGTATGAATGTACACAACTTACTCCCTACATGGATGATGGTAGAGACCTTGGAATAGATTGTATGCACTTATATACTAGATTGTGTGCACTCATACTTGTTTGCAGGTTCTCACCTAAAGAAATGTTCTTATTTGAACACAAGTCGAATCATTATTGGATGATAATCAACCATAACTTGCGAACTTGTGAAGGATTGCACCGCAACTACTACATAATTAATGCATCGCCACGGCTCCTAAACATGCTTGGAGGGCCTTACACAGTGCAATCATATCCGAGTACGGTGTAATCCTTTAGAAGTTTACAAGTTCGCACGTTAAAATCAGTTCGCACCTCATTATTGACCATAACTTATAACTGTTAAGATGTTAATTAAATTGGTTTGGTTTGTTAAATGAAGCAGGGAAGAGAGTCGTGTTAGATTTCTCTTCTTCCTTCCATTCATTTATCATATTTTTGGTCTGATGCATGAGGATAAATTTGAAAGGGACATTATTGTTTGGTTTCTTCATGTATACCCAATCACATCACACTCACATCTTGCCAACTTGCTCTTAACTTTTAACATGATATTCTATCACCAGCAGAAATCCCATTTTTTCTCCTCAAATTTATGGAATAAAAAAATGGAAGAAGATAAAAGAGGAAATTCCCCTCCAGGCTTCATGACAAAATTAATAGCTGACTTGGGAGTTTCTCCAAAAGGTCACTTCTCTTCATTAATGAAAATTAACTCGATTTGAAAAAAATCATACCCCTCATATTTATAGGGAAACTGGTGTAATAGTCTACAAACTATACAAGAGAGAGTAAAAATCAAACTCCTGACCTTTAAGTATCAAAATTATGTTTCACCTACTCGATCACTCTTTCGGGCTAAACATTAATTTAACCTGCTCTTATGGAGGTTGTACTTAGTACTGGTTCTTAATTCCCAGGTCCACCAGGTTAAGATATTTTGCTATGAGATAAGGTCACTCCAACAAACTCTTTGCAAAATTATTGCATATGGCCACACCAATTCCCTGCATTTACTACTCTCTTTCTTTTTGGTAGAATTAAAGTTAAAGTCCTAAAGTTATAGATTTATACAACTGGATTACAAATTAAATTTGTTAACATATATTGGTGTTCCCAAAAGGTTGAATTCCAACACAAGGGCCTCTCACGTCCCGACAGAACAGAGCATCTGGGAGGAGATAAATCATGATAACTCAGCTAAACACTGAGGCTAGACTTACTGCTTACAAGGAAGGTTGCTCTCACACTGTCGCTAGTGAAACTCGATCCCGGATCACTGCTTTCAAATTTCACCCTATGAGTAACATGTATTTACTACTACATGCATTCTAATGAACCATTCATCAACATATATGCAGTGAAGTTTAATTTGTTGACGTTGTGTGGCACCGACATATATATAGTACGGATGGGAATTGAATAGCAGATTTATTATTGAAAGAGTAGTGCATTAATAGTGATAGTTTGAAGAAATTAAATAGGGGTGGGGATATGATTGGTGAAAAGTTCAATAAATTATTCATCCATCAATAGACGAAAAGCAGCTCTGAGATCGAAGCAAACCTTGCTTTTTCACAGGGCTTGATCGAGGGGAATCCAGGCTCCGCAGCAGCAGCTGCTTCACGGCCAGGATGAGGTCCTCCGTCGGGCTCGGCGGCGGCCTCTGAGCTTTGAACTTTTTGCAGAACGTCATGTGGCGGTTCAGAGCCTCTTCACTGCCAATACGCCGCTCCGACCTTGCTATCTCGTCCTTCACCGCCTCTGCGCACAGCCCGCATATCCACCGCCCTTGGTTCCGCTCTCGGACCTTCGCTACGTACGCCTCCGTGCACTCTTCCGTCAGTCCGCAGCACTCGCATTTCGCAAACAACATCACTTCGTTCATCTTTGCCGCTGCCGCCGCCGCTCCGTTTCCCTGCGCTGCCGCCTCCTTCCTCATCATCATCGTCTTCGCAGCCATTAATCTCGGTGAACTCCAAATCCAAACCGCTCTTCCGAAATTTACGCACTGCATAACAGCACAGAGTATTCGAAAATCAAGCACAAAATCAGAATCCTCCGATCAATTCCACAAATCAAATATATATCCCTTAAACCTACACTATAAACTACTCAAATCTACATGCAAGTTTACAATATATCTGCAAAAATACATTATACATACATTTAGCAGACGATCTGGAGAGAATTTTCCAGTAAATCCGAAAACTTGACAAAAAGATTTGCAGCAACGATCCTCGTTTTCTGTTTGAAAATTATCTTTCTTTCTCCCACTCGCCTTCTTCTTCAACAATCTCGCCGCCGATGATCAGGAGCTTGAAGATCATATACATTTCAGAGAGCCCTGTTTGGCTCCTCGCGATGACTCTATCACCGCCGTCGAGCAGATGCAAATATCACTTGGCAGAGAAGCTTTGGGAAGAAATGACTGTGACATTGATTTATAGGATGATGATGGATGTATAAATAATAGGAAATAAAGTTAATTAATTACATTTTACAGAGAGACTTTCTACTGTATTGATTAAGTTAATGAATATCGACAAAGGTTGTCACCCCCCAATGATTGGTGCTTGGTTGTCAAAGTTCAATTTTTTTTATGCCACGAAAACCAAACATGAATATGATTTTTTGGTCATGTTTTACCTCCTCAAACATTATTTTGGGAAATCTTGGGTGCACCAAGAAAAAATAATATTCAAAAGAATAATAACATATATAATAAATTCTAAAATAAATTAATAATAGTAATAATATTCATAAGGACATCCTCAATAGTAGGAATTTTGGTGTAGCTTTTGAGAATATTTTGTAAGTGTGATTAGGAAAGAGAAAACAGTAGAAAAGTAGGGAAAAAAAAAAACAAATGCTGATTAGAAAAAAAAAAAAAAAAAAAAAAAAGACAGTCATTAACGCGCCCAGACTGCACGCGCCATATGTAGCCTTCACACGAATAGAGACGGAAGACAATAAAAGCAATGGGTCCCACTCTACAAAATCCCCAAACTTCCATGGCACACCCAAACTCTCTCTCTCCTCACTAATATCCTTCCATGTTGACAAATTTTTATTAAAACTTATGCAAAGTCCTCTTACTGGGGATGCCCTAATAGCGGTGTCATAGGAAAGTACCATCGCAAAAATGCGGGCCTAACAAGCCTGGCCCGCAGCTTATGGTTTTGTACTGCTGTCATGAGTAATGAATTGATATCCAGACGTTATGCCATGGAACCGTGTTCACCATTCATGGTGAACACGGTTCCAACGGTGTTAGTGCACCGTTATCTTTTTTTTTTTTTTTTTTTTTTTTTTTAATTAATTACGTGACTGCCTACACATTCACTTTGGAACCATGCCTACACATTCACTTTGGAATCATGAGATTATGAATTTTCTGTTATGAGATTATGAATTTTCTGTTATGAGAATATGAATTTTCAGTTATGAGATTATGAATTTTCTGTTATGCGATTATGAATTTTCTGTTATGAGATTATGAATTTTCATTACATTCATAATTTCGGAGTTTCGGACATTCATAAATTATGAATTCATGCATGCACATTCACTTTGGAACCATGCCTACATATTCCCGTCCGAAATCACGGACATTCATAAATTATGAATCCATGCCTGCACATTCACTTTGGAACCATGCCTACACATTCACTTTGGAACCATGAGAGTATGAATTTTCTGTTATAAGATTATGAATTTTCTGTTATGAGATTATGAATTTTCAGTTATGAGATTATGAATTTTCTGTTATGCGATTATGAATTTTCTGTTATGAGATTATGAATTTTCATTACATTCATAATTTCGGAGTTTCGGACATTCATAAATTATGAATTCATGCATGCACATTCACTTTGGAACCATGCCTACATATTCCCGTCCGAAATCACGGACATTCATAAATTATGAATCCATGCCTGCACATTCACTTTGGAACCATGCCTACACATTCACTTTGGAACCATGAGATTATGAATTTTCTGTTATAAGATTATGAATTTTCTGTTATGAGATTATGAATTTTCAGTTGTGAGATTATGAATTTTCTATTATGCGATTATGAATTTTCTGTTTTGCGATTATGAATTTTCTGTTATGAGATTATGAATTTTCATAAAATTCATAATCTCATAACAGAAAATTCATAATTTGATCAGTAACGCGCCGTTAACTCCACATCCGCGATTTTTTTTTTTTGCCTAAAAACGACGTCATTTTGACTTGTGTTCACCATTCTCGGTGAACACGATTCCACGGCATAATTTGCGATTGATATCTAATTATGAACTTTGCATATTAATATTTTTAGTGTGTTTCATTGTTTTGAATTTAAAAGAAAAAAAAAAAACTTTAAAGTTGAACTTGACAATAATTTTAATATATTTATTAACTTATTGTTAGAAAAAAGTTGGCCAGCTATGGTAGTGTTTTTATTTTTTTTTTCATTTATAAAGTTATTTTCACATGATTTTTTTTTTAAATTGCGGGGCTCGCCAATCTGCATGGGGCGCGCTAGGGGTTATATGAATCTTAGCCCGCGAGCCTAGTGGGCCGGTCCGCAAAAGCTGACCAGAAATTAGCACGGGCCTAATGGGTCAGGTGCGACCCGCTTTGATAGTACTATTTCATAAAATGTATTGCGTAAATCTGAATAATGATTAATTGACAGTAAGGAGTCTTCTTATCTACTGTAGTCTTTGCTCATGATTAAGGCTTAGAAAAAAAAAAAAGTCACTTTATTAAAATGATATGTGAGCCTTAACGAAACAAGGTTCATTTCGTCAGAAGTCAAATCATCAATCTCTTTTAATGCACAATCAAACTTCTAAAATATATCCACATTTTAATTGTATGTTATAAATCAAGTGTAGCAGATAGGTTTAAGTACCTCAAATCATCAATCTCTTTTAATGCACAATCAAACTTCTAAAATATATCCACATTTTAATTGTATGTTATAAATCAAGTGTAGCGGATAGATTTAAGTACCTTAAACCTTATATATATATATATATATATATATATATATATATATATATATATATATATATATATATATATATATATGATCTGTAGAGGTAGCTGGAACATGCTCAGGATCTTTAAATAAATAAATTCAGAGTTTCAAAACAACATTTAATACAATATTAAAGTATCGACTAATAGTTTCCACTGACATTTAAAAATTGTTTTAAATGATCATGTTTTTTACATGATGAGCAATAATATGTAAAAAGATTACTACTTTTTCATCAGCAAGCATATTTCTTGTTGGCTTTAACACTCCTATAGTTTGTAGCATTGCACACAACTTTACAAAAGCATGTCTATTCATCTTTAAGTTGAGATATGCATTTTTCATCACTAGGTTACACAGTCCATAACATATATTCTCAAGACCCTAAAATATTTATAATATAATATTTCGCTAGTTTTTTCTTAGAACACAAAATTGTCAAGATAGACATCATCATTATGAATAATAAACCCATAGAAGCGCACGTATCCAACCACACACACAACACAACTATATATCTTTTTCTCCTTTGAGTACGAGTTATTAAACGGAATCGAACCATGACTACAAATTCAATTAAAAATTCACACACACACAATATATATATATATATATATATATATATATATATATATATATATATATATATATATATATATATATATATATATATATATATATATATGAAAAAAGAGTTAATACCTCCAATGGTCCTCCGAGTATTAGGGTATTACCAGGTGTGGTCCTCCGAGTTTAAAACGACCACGAGACGTCCTCCGAGTTCAAAAAAATAACCACCCGTGGTCCTCCGTTAGATTTGGTGTCAAATGGGCGTTAAGTGTGAGGGCAAACTTGTCATTTCTACTATGAGAAAGAGTTAATACCTCCAATGGTCCTCCGAGTATTAGGGTATTACCAGGTGTGGTCCTCCGACTTTAAAACGACCACTAGACATCCTATTAGTTTAAAAAAATTACCACCCGCAGTCCTCTGTTAGGTTTGCTGTCAAAGAGGTGTTAAGTATGAGGGAAAAGATGCCCTTTCACCTATATTTCTTCCTCACAAGTTTTGCGGGCCCCTCCACCCACGGAATGCCATCTCAAGAGGCCACTCTACTTAGGCGAGAATGGCAACGAAGGAAGCTTTGGCCTTTGGCTGTCAATGGCGAAAGCCATGGGTTTCAGAAAATAGGTAGCTCTGATGATTGGTGAACCACCTGTGGATTATACCATTAACTCCTCTCTCTCTCTCCTCAAAGATGGAGTCTTTGGACGACTCTTCCTCCATTGTTTCCTATTCCAGGTTAGTGATGTTGTAGTTTTGTATGTGATGGAATGTGAAGATGGTGAAGTGTAAACGAAGGTTGTGATACCCCCGAGTGTCGAAATCAAGGATGGAAAATCGGAGTAATTAGAATGCAAGACAATTAGTTGTCACAACGCATTGATAAGAAGATTAGGTGCAAGGTAGGGATGTGAAAGGAAACATATGCAATGGACAAGGAAGGAAGGAACATAAACTGAGAATGAAACAATCAAAATAAGGAAACGGAAATTGGATAGATGTACCTAGAGTTCATGCATCTAGTAGCCTAAGGTAGATGACCTATATGTAGGAATGCAAGACTCTACCTAGGAAGAATTAATGGCACCTACACTAGGTTGCGTAGAACATAGACTCTCCTTTCATACGTCGGTGGAGGCATTTAATCAAACATAAGGTGGGCGGTCTACCTTCTTCTCTCGGGCCTAGCCCTCTCGGATCGTAGGGTGGAGATTGGGACAAGTAGGACTAAAGGAAATGCAATCTCTTGCCAATTCATCAATCCAATACCTAGATGCAATCAAACCTAAGCAATCATCCAATCCCTACAACAATCTAGCTATACATTATGCAATCTAGACCACAGAAATGAAAATAAGAACAAGCAATTGAACAAGTAATTGAAATAGAAATGCTGAATTGAAAAAGGAAATGGAAAGTATACCCAATTGGATCTTCTCCTTTAGCAATCCTTACACCAATTGAGCTTAGACAATGAAGAAAATCGAAGATCTAATCTAACCTAGCAATCTAACCTAACCTACAAGCTCTGCAAAAGTAGAGAGAAAGCTCTGGAAAATGTAAAGTGGTCTCCAAATGAAATCCCCGCCAAGCTTTTAAACTGAACTTTGGATCTGCCCTGCGTACGAGGCACGTACGCACGTACGTGACCACATACGCAATCCAACGTCCTCCTAACGTGCGTTGCTCGTCGCGTGGATCTTTCTGGAATTTAACACCTTCGACTTGCGTCTATGTACGAGGCACGTACGTGCGTACGGGGTGCGTACGCTGTCCATCTTCGCGACAACGTGCATTGGACCTTCGTTGTTGGCTTCCGGTCGCCATACTCCCTCGCGC